CCTGCGACCTAATAAAATGTCAGTATCACATGATATGGCCATCGTTTTGCAACCATAGTTTTGACCAAAAATGCCAACTGTTTCTTTCCCGAAAACGTATACAAGCACGCACGGCGATTGCGGTTCCCCTTGTGTTGAGCTTGTTTGGACGTAGTACATGACAGCTTATACAGGACTACAGTTAAGGTGCCCAGTCCAGAGACAGAAGATGAGATGAATTGAGTTGTTGCAACCTCTCTCCTCCTAAACTTAGTCTCTGTAATATCGAGTATTTAGACACATGCATAGAGTATTAAATATAGACTAATTACGAAACTAAATGCACATATTAAGACGAATTTCTAAGCCTAATTAGTCAATGATTTGATAATGTGGTGCTACAGTAAACATGTGCTAATGACGGATTAACTAGACTTACTAAATTTATCTAAGCGGATTAATGAACGACTTACGTAATTTGTTTTATTATTCTTATCAAACACCGATTGTGACACCTCCAATATGACACTCCTAAACTTTAGCCACGGATTCTAACACCCCCACTAATTCTAATCGAACACGAAGTCTCAAGTTCGCTCTTGCACCGTCTGAATCGGGACTGACCTGATCTTATCCTCGACACAACGCAATAGTTGTGAGGCCAGTTTTTAGGATAGCAAAAAGCTTGACCTGACCCAACTGACATTTTTAAGCAAGTAACAGAACGAGATAAACAATCGAAGTCAATTAGAAACACTAGGCAGTCAATTAGAAACACTAGGCAAAAACACGCTCCAATGTGAGCCAAAAAGGAGTCACGCGTGACACACATACGCAACACAACATTGCCAATAAGAAAAGGGAGATGCTAGCGCTTCGAGCGTTCGGACCAATCGTCGTCCGAACGGCAGGTATCTACTTGTGTCGCGCACCTCTTTGTTTCCTATGTCTCCTTCGTTTCCCGTGCCGCGCCAGCGTGGACGCGCCGCCCTAACCGTGAACTCCGCTCGCTTTTGAAAACCGCCGCTTCAGCTCCGCTTTCCATGCGCACATAGGGACCGCCTACACGGCTGGCCGTATCGAGCGCAGGGGGCGCCAATACTGCGTCGGCTGCACTTCACTTTCGCTTCACCACGGGAACCGCATGCAGACGCCCTAGCAGGTGTAGTATGGCCGGCGGCAGTGGTGGGGTTCCGTTGCAACATATGCAACACCGATCTATTTTTGCAACACCTAGATGAAACACTTGTAACATCGTTCGAAAACAAAGCTGAAACACTTGCAAGCGCTGAAAACACTTCAAAGTCATTGCAAGCATATGCAACATCCGGATAAAACATTTGCGACTATATGAAATATATGCAACATCTGGATAAGCGCTTGCAACATACGTCCCGAGAAATAGATGAAATATTTGAAGCAGACTCTTGCAACATGCGTTTATAGCCATTACAAATACGCAACATCTTGATCTACTTTTACAACATCCATGTGGAACACTTGTAACATACCTCACGAAACATCTGAAACAATTACAACATCGCTTGCAACATGCGCTTTCGCGCAACATCTCCATGTTGCTTGCCGCGACGGAGGGCGTAGCTACAGCTTGTGACCTCGTTGCGCATAAGGCACCAAGCCCGGCTGCCGTCCAAGATCATCCACAGCGGGCGGCCATATTGCAGGCGATGCAAAAAGACATCTATGCGAGGAGGGGGTGGAGAAGCGTCAAGGCAACCGACCTGACCTGCACGCCATAACAAGCAGGAGGGCGGCGGCTGCGTGCACAGAAGCGAAGGAGTTCATCATGGGGGAATTCTTTGTGAGCCATTAAAAAGATCGCAATCCTCGTGAGTCAACGAAAAAGTTTAGCGGTCTTGGCGCCCTTTGCTCCAACTTTTTCCTCCTCCATGCCACTTTGCCGTCAGATTGGGCCCTAGCGATTGTCAAACGGGTGTAAAAAGTCAAAAATACTCTTAAGTCTAAATATGTCATTAATTTTTTTTGAGCATCTTAGCGACTTCAAATGGAAAAACTCAAAACTAGAAAGTTGTAGATCTCGTCGAGATCTATAATTTTCATATAAAAATTATCTTCTTTTAATACACCAAAAAAATATATGATTTTTCTAAGATATATTAATCATATCAAATCATATCTTCTTTTAATCATATATTTTTTGCGGTATTAAAAGAAGATAATTTTATATGAAAATTATAGATCTCCACTTAGATCTACAACTTTCTAGTTTTGAGCTTTTTTTCATTAAGTCGATTAAACCCCGTTAGATCCAAATTTTTGAATTTTTGGCTCTTTGTAGCACTTTCGTTTGTATTTGGCAATTAGTGTCTAATTATGGGCTAATTAGGTTCAAAAGTTTAGTCTCGCGATTTCTCACCCAAGCTGTGCAATTAGTTTTTTTTCGTCTACATTTAATACTCCATGCATGTGCCATAAGATTGATGTATTGAGTGCTTAGCAAAATTTTTTGAAATCTAAACAGGCCCTAAGATGCTCAAAAAAATTAATGACATATTTAGACTTAAGGGTATTTTTGACTTTTCACACCTGCAGTTGGACACCGTTAAGGCCCAATCGATGGAGTAAGCGTGGCATGAGGGCAAAAATATTGGAAGCGATGGCAGCTCAAGACCGTTGAACTTTTTGGTGGCTCACAAGGATTACGATCTTTTTAATGGCTCACAGGAATTCTCTCATTCATCTATTACGTGTCACCGGCGGAGGGCTATGCCATGGGGTGGCGTGGAGCGGCAGCCAGAGAGGCAGCCCGTCTTGCACCAGAGCAAGGCGAGGGCAGACTTAAGGGCCAAGAGGAAGACGGTGGCCACGGCGGACAGGAGGCGTGATGGAGGAGGAAAGCGGGCGGCGGCGCTTTCGCAAGGCGCGGTGGAGATCTTGGCCGTCGTCGGCGCCAGAACGCCCAAGGCGGTGTTGAAGCACAGTCACGCCATTGCGTTGATTTATGCGTGGCTGGTTCTAGAGAAATGAGTGGACAAACAGATATGATAGGATGGAGAAACAAGTGCACAAGCAAATAAGATAGACAGGGAGGAACGACCTCGCGGCCTAGCAACAGGAACGTCCAAAAGGACGGACGGACGAGACTATACTGTCCAAGAAGGCAGCATTTTTAAGGAGACCAAGTTACTCTACCGAAATACCGAGGCGTACAAAAAAATCATGTCAAGTCAATTAGGTTAGGTAGAATGATATTCATTCAAAGGTTAAATGGACAGTTTCACAACTCACAAGCACCAGTTTGTCCCTCATTCCAAAATCAGGTAAGCAAACCCATGTTGACCAACGCGGTGAGACTGAATTTCAAAGTAACAACCCAAATGGTAAAAAGCAGCAGTGACCTCAAGCGCAGAGCGGGCAGTGAGCTGCTCTGCTCAGGGCTGTTTAGTTCCAAATTTTTTAATGCAGTCACCATTATATCGAATTTTCAAGCGCGTCGTAGATCTTAAATCTGAAAAAAACTAATTGTATAGTTGGGTGAGAAATCGCGAGACGAAACTTTCGAACCTAATTAGTCGTAATTAGACAATTAATTGTCAAATACAAACGAAAGTCTATACAAGTGGTCAAAAACCAAAAAAAAATTGCATCTAAACGCACCCTCAGCTGTATACTCAACTCAGCAGCTGCGTGTGTGTGGTCAGTGGTCGTCTTCAAAGGAAGGGTCCTGGAAAGCAGAAACGGTCACACGGCCTGCCTGGCACGTCGCACGTGCATTAGAGCTTGGAAATTTTGGAGCCAGTGCACACGAAAATACCATACGCCTGTAGTATATTCAACTTTTGTTAATCTCGCAGGCTGAAGTTTTCTGCATTCCATTCTAAAAAAAGTCTTCTGCATTCCCATCCTCTTCTTCGCCCAGAGCTCTACTTCTACATAGCCCAAATTTTCTTTTGTCCTCCCATCCGAATGTTTTGGAATTTTACCTGCTCACCAGCAACGACAAGCAGTGTAGCGCCAAGCACGTGCACGTAATTGCAATACCACAATGAGCCAGCAGCCCAGCACTTTCGAGACGCGAAACCCCAGCAACAACATCACATTTTGGTACCTTCCCTTGCAGGATATATCCAACAGAAAGACAGTCGACGACGCACAAAAATGAAAGTGTGTCACAGAGACGGAGAATCGGAGACCAAGCTCCAGTGTCGTCTCTGCGAACGCGAAGCGATGTAAGATGTTTTTTTTTCCCGAAAGATCCGAACCGATGTAAAACGTCCACGGAGGGACGTCATACGCCGTTGATGCACTTGTGACAGGATTTCTGTGTTCAGGGATTATTATGTCACCAGCCATGATGATTTTGTAACCACCAAAAGATTGGCATCATTCAGCTAATCAAAACTAATCTCTCGCCCTGCGACCTAAAATAATAGTATCATCATGATACGACGATCGTTTTGCAACCATAGTTTGGCCAAAATGCCAACTGTTTCTTTCCGAAAATGAAAAAAAGGAAGCACATAGGACATGGACATGACATGACAGCTTAGGATTACAGCTAAGGTATCCAGTCCAGAGACAGTAGATGAGACGAATTGAATTGTTGCAACCTCCAAGTATTACTTGTTCTAATCGAACGCGAGTTTGACTGTTCTCGAGTTCCATCTTGTGCTCCGTCGGAGACTTGATTGGACCTGATCTTATCCTACACAGAACAGTTGGGAGGCCATTTTTAGGACAGCAAAGTTGACCTGACCCAACTGACATTTTCGAAGCAACAGCTCGAGATACACAATCGACCTCAATTAGAAACAGTACGCGCGACACACACGTTATAGTCTACCGAGTCGTACAAAAAAAATTAGGCACGTCAAGTCAGTTAGGTTAGGTAACATGATATTAATTCAATGATTAAACGGACAGTTTCACAACTCAAGCACCAGTTTGTCCATCATTCCATAGTCAGTTAAGCAAACCCATGTTGACCAACGCAGTGAGACTGAATTTCGAAGTACCAACCCAAATTATAAAAGAAACATAACTGATGACACAGGTGTGACATTTAGCTTTACTGAAGGTGACACACTGAAATAGGTATCTGCAAAAAGGAGGATCAAATTGCTTCACCAGGAAACAACAGTGGGCATCTATTGGACCACGCCTCAAAGGAGGATTATTTCTGCGTCCTTGGATGCTCTTCTCATCTTCAGGATAAGTTTGAGGGATTCCTTGTCCAGTTTGTTGTTGTCCTCTATTCGCGCACTTCTAAGTACAGGTGCATCTTTAAGCAAAAGTTCCAAGAAGCCTGACTCTGCACAGGAACCAGTAAAGTTGTTCATAACAACTGTATAAAGGTTCTTGAAGAGACAATCCTGGTGATCAACTGAGTCCCAGAAATTCGAGGTGGGTGCAGAATAGCCCCTGTGCATAAGCTGCAAGGCGAAAATTATTACGAGACGGAGATTCATGAGATGTAGCAAGGTGAGGATTTTCATCGGCCGTACCTGTAGCTCCATGCGTCGCAAGTTGGGAGCAATTTGAAACAAACAGTGAGCAGCGTTTGCTTCCTTCAGGTTACCAAGGTCAAGCTCCAGGGTTACCTCCGTCAGCTGATTTAACAATCTTGGTAGTTTACCAGGCACGATTCCATGCGCTGCACACTGTAAAGTAATAAGGTGTCACCTACCATATGACTCAATGGTGAGATAATAAAAATCAGGGTACGCACTGTGGTGTGGCAGCTTCTTTGTTCATACCTCAAAAGCGTGCCCGAGTAATGAAATATTTTCAATATCTAAAAGAGAACCAATGAATTGAGAAAGATTAAAGTTGGACCCAGCCCTTGGGACATAACCAGTGTTAACTTGCAGGTTAATCACTGCTGAAGAGACATGTGGCGTAACAAGATTGAGATGTTTAAACATGCCATCAACTCTTAGGACTTTGAGCTTTGTTGAGTGGATAGTGATATCAGCGAAGCTGAGCAACCTAGAGAGAATAAGTTCCTCTAAGTTCGGGCAGCTTGCTACTAATTCCCCAATATTGTTTTCCGTTGCACAGAACTCAACAAAATGAAGGGTATGCATTCGCTTAAAGCCTGTAAACAGAGGTGGCAACTGAAATATACAACCTTGCAGGCAAGCATATTCCAATTCCACACATGAGAAGAAAGAAGAAGGAATTTTGTAATTCCTCCATATCCTTGTCTTAATTTGAATATCTTTAATTCCATTTCTTGACAGAATAAGCATCCACCTATGGATGTGTCCTCCAGGGGAAAACGTATGAACTCGTCGGGCATTCATTTCAAACTTCAGAATAGGGCCATTGTGGAGGGAGAGAGACGTATGGACGAAGGAGGCAAATCTGACACTGTCACCATCTTCATTACCATTGCCTAAAGCAAAATCATCTTCCCTGAACATCAATTCAGTCATTGAAGCCCATGTGTATCTCCATTTCCTTGACAAGAAACATGTTCTTATAGCTTCTTTTATTGGTAAACAGCAGAGAATTTTGTCTTTGATAACATCAGGTAGATTACTGATGATATCAGCATTTGCAACAGATTTATGTCTTTTCTTTTGGGAACCGCCACGATCCATTGGACATACTTCTATTGTGAGAACCTGCACTTGTGATAAAAACAACTCATAAATATCTAAATTGAACACATGAAGCATATTATCTATGACAATAAAAACAGATAAGACCCATACGGAATTACTACTGGAATCTTTAACCAGTTTTAAGCCCAAGGTTTTACATTGTAATATCTGTGTCATCACTGTGAGCATTTTTTCTCGAACACATAAGGAGAGCTGCGTATCTTTTATATTAAGGAAAAAAAAGTGCAGAAAACCCCAAAACAACAAAGACAACACCTCAACACGCCCGACACACACGGCACAACAAACCCACAAAAACTAACAACTCCCAGACACACACAGAGACAACAAAACCCACTCACAAACGAGGGGTGAAAGACCAAGTCAAGCAATTAGGCAACACCAAGTATCCGTTCAGTCAACAAGGCTATGCCCTTTCACACCCGCTAGACCCCACAACTTTTGCTTCCGTGGACCCGAAGCTAGGATGCCCTGCAGAGTAGGTGAAGCCCTATCAAAGACACACCGATTCCGATGGTTTTCAGCGACCAGGCTCCAAGGATAATTAAAGAACTGAGACCCTGCCTATCTTGATCAGCGACAATCTCATTAGATCGGCACCACCAAACTTCAAGGGCGGCTCAACCCGTTGGGGGGCGAGGTCTGCAGTCCAAACTTATGTAGAGCTCAAACCAGAATTGCCTAGAGAAGACACAAGAAGCAGAGCAGGTGATTGATGGTTTCCTCTTCCTGATCACACAGCAAACATTTCTGGTGATGTTGAAGACCCCCTTGAGCAAGGCGATCTGCAGTCCAGCACTTATTATCTGCGACCAACCACATGAAAAAACGGCATTTGTTAGGAGCCCAAGTTCTCCAAATATGGTCCCATGGACTGAATAAAATGGCACCTTGAAAGAAACCCTCATAAGCTGATTTTGCAGGGTAGACACCTAAAATCATTGTGGGTATTGTTTGAGATGTTGCTGTGTCCTGTGGTGCTAGGGGGTATGCCTGGACGTCTAGGTGCCTTTTAGGCAACACCTAGGTGATATAGCATACTAAAACCTTGTAGCATCCTGTGGCATCAGAGGTGCGCCTGGACACCAAGATGACGACTTAAAAACCATGACTGCAAGGTCCAATAAAGCTTATCAGAGAGGTGGTAGAGCTTAAAAAGCAATCCATGGGCAGCCCAAGATCTTTGTTATGAGCTTAGGTTGTGCCAAACCCAATGTCAGAAGCTCAGGCCTCAGTTTGAGCTAGATGTTTTGATGCAAATCACGCCTGGTCTAAGCCCAAACTAACATGAGGTCACAAACTTTTTTTATATGAATCTGTGTACACTCCATTATGGGAAAAAACAGTTTACATTTGGGAAGAAAAAACTATCTCAAGCTTAGAAACCAACATTGTAAACCTGGGCCAAGTTCAACATTACGTTTTTAGGTTATAAGGTTAGGCTTGCATGTGGCTTGAATGCTTCTATATCACGGAAGATTCCTAACACAGCAAGTTCTTTTAGGTACTAAACTAATGTGTATCTTTTTTTAAAACTCGATATATATTTAAGTGCTGTTCGATTAGTGCATTGTAAACACAAACATAAAGGGAAATGAATACCGCTACAACCTGAAGGGGGAAATGAATACCGCTGCAACCTGAAGAAAGTAATCAAATACATGGATTGTTTGGTCCACGTGAGGTAAGTTAATTGCAACATGATCTGTTTGCGGTAGGATGTGTGCAGTAAGGGCATTGTACAGGGCGGGATCGGGTCACGCCATGAGCTGAATACAGCACAGCCAAACCAAATGGAAATTAACGGTAGTGGGTACCATTGTGAACAGTTTACAGTGCAAAATAACCCAACCAAACAGCACCTTAGTCAAACCTTCTTAATTGAATACAATAAAGTCACTATCCAAAATATATTTAGTCAAAGATGCATTAACTATAAATGGAAGAATCATAAAAAAATAGAACTTATTGATATATATGAAGTTACATAGGTTTGTATCTCTTATGACAACACTTGTTAATTTAATTAGAGAAAATTTGCAGAACTGGTTTTAAAAAATTTCAGAGATTTTAATTGGAATTATGTCTAAACATGAATGCACATTATAAAAGTGAGAAAGAGAAGTAAAAATTTCATACATGGCATGAAATGTGCTATAGCTACAAGCTATTATCTATAGCACCAATAATGGTCTATGCAATGGTCATAGCTACGCCCATGATCCTTTTAGGTATAGCATTGCTTTCAAAGTTTTAACAGAGCTATAGCTATTTAAGCACTAATCATGCCAATTCATCATTGAACAAGCGCTGTTACAAGACATAAAATTTGGCAGCTTATGTCTTCAGCTGACAAAATCGTAGTCTGAATTGCTTTAGTACTCCCTCTATTTCAAAATTTTGTCCAGAGTATTATTCTATACATGCCGTATCTACAAAGAAGCAGTATTCCACATGCAACCAGATGCAAGATTTGATAGGCGTGTAAAAATAAGATATTAAAGCGAACTTTCAGTTGAAATGCAGCAAAAGAGCAATGAAGACCATTCTACTTCAGCCGGCAATAGTTTTAGGCTCAGCCATTATGCTCTTTCAATTAGCCCATCATATGAATACTTTGATCTACCAAAAATAAGAACATGAAGAAAACAACTCTAATCTAAACCAAGTTTGTCTCCATAGTTTATCCTTCTAAATAAAAAAAATCTCCAAACGGCTAACCATTTGCACCAAGAACGAGAGAACTGCAGATGCCATGGAAATGTATTAACTACTCGTATTCACCAAGAAATCATTTAGACACGATATGATATGCAAGTGTACTTGTGCTCAAAAGTCAAAACTTTGGGCAGTAAAACGAGGGAAAGCTAGGAGCATATTCAACACTTCCCCAATATCTTTTCCTATCCCATAAAACTGCCATATCAGGGTCACCCTGCTCCCCCAACCCAACCCCACCCGATATATTGGATCCTATTTAGCGAGTCTCCTAAAATATTAAAAAATAATAATATTGTACTACCCCTCCATATTGGGTGATAGATTCTCCTAGAATATTAAAAAAAAATTGTACTACACCTCCATATTGGGTGATAGATTATTGGGATAGTGCTCTATGGCGATGCACGGCCTATGAGTTGCGGGTCAGGGCAGAGCGTCATGAGACGCGACGAGAGGCCCAAGCGACTGGTACGATAAAGACGGAAGACGACGGGACATTACCTCGCCTGGGGTTTGGGGTTCCGGTTCGGCTGCCCCCGATCTCGTCCTTGCCCCCGCACAAGCAAGTTGGTTTCGGCCCCTTCTTTCCCTTCCTTCGCTGCCGTGGTATCCGGCGCCGCCGTCGAGAATCCGCAGGGTAGGACGGGGCAGGAGATTGGCGGGATTAACTGGGGGCAGGCGGGGGCAATCGACGAAAACTCCTGCCGCGATGCACAGACCGGCCGGCCCGGTGATGCGCCGGGGATCCCGAACGGGGAGCGGAGGAGAAATCACGGTGAGGGCGTGGCACCGCACCGCACCGCTCCCCGCCGGCGTTCCCTAGGTGCCGGATAGGGTTTTCTCGTCGAATTGCGCAACGGGCGGCCGGGTGTTCTCGGGTTGTGGCCTGTGGGCTGTGGGAGGGGCCGAAGCGCGGCGCAAAGCAATCGGGCGCAAGCGCGAGAAGCCCGTGCGGTGGTCGCTGGCCACGCTGGGCTGGAGCCTCGTGCAAGAGAAGCTCGGCCCAGAACGTATTTGAGCCTAATCAAGCCGAGTCGTCGATCCTCCATTTGCCCATTTGCGCGTCCAGTCGCGTGTTGAATGAAGCCATGGAGGAGCTCTGGTCGGCCCGGCTGCAGCTCGATGGCAGTCCGTGGGAGAGAAAGGTGGGCTGTTGGTGGCCCATATATTTTTCTTTATATGTCTCTTTTTCTCTTAAAAATACAATAACTTTCTTGTATGTAGTCTGTGTTCGGTATTATGTTTCTTGCAATAAGATCTATGATATAAGATACATGATAAAAAATTTCAAGAAATATAAGAATGTATTAAATATATAGCAAATTGTGTTGATCGTGCAATTACACTTATAAGTTGACAAATTGCTTGTTCGGGGACAAGGATAGGAAAAACCTAGCCCGGACACGGGGTCGGGGACGGGAAACACGGGAAATTTCTTGTGTCAGGAGCATACCATTTTGTCAACCCGTCAGGGATAACACCGTTGCCATCCAAGTTGCATCCTGTTGTCCCTGTTTGCAACAAGGTTCTAGCTATTGGCTCTGTTTGCTTGAGCTTATAAGCCAGAATCAACCCTACTATTTCAGTTATGGAATACTATTTTTCTCTCATAATAAATCAGCCGTAGCAGCAATAAGTCCTGTCGAACAGAGCCGTTGTTTGTCCTTGTTTTGTGGCTTGTGATTTAGGGGCCGTTCGGCTGGTGCAAAAATTGCACTGTTCATGGTTGAAAGTTACTATTCACGGCTGATTTTCTCTCACATATTCCTCTATATTCCTCTAAATTTCTCCAAGCGAACGGGGCCTTAGGATCATTGTAGTGGGTGTGACTATAGTTCCCCCTAATTTACATATGGTTGTGATTATGGTCGATCTAAGGGTTATGATTACGATTCTCTCTAGTTTACAACCTGGTGTGGTTAAAGGCCGTAACATAATGACCAAGCATCGGGACAAGTAGAATCGAATCACAGATGCTTTTTTTTTCTTTCAGCATCGCGCCTCGCACAGTGTGTAAATTGATGTCTAGTCGGGAGAGAGAATGTATCAGCATCGATTTGAAGACACACGGGTACTCTAGTGTCTTTTGCCACTCGATCTTTTGCCACTCCAAATAAAGAGCTTTTTATATATATGGCCTTAAAAAATACATCTTCTTTGTATGACTCTTTATTTTGAACTTACTTTATGGCCTCAAATGTCGAAATTTTCTTTCTTCTACCGCGGTCAAGTCTGTTAAGGTTTTTTTTAGTTTGCACATTTGTTGATACTTGAAATGTCTAGATTGCCCTTCTCTGCTCTTTCTGCCAATACCGAGACCGTGCAGCCGGAAAGACACCTAGACCGAACGATGCGGGGGGGGGCGCCGCCAGGATCTCCGGCCCCAGCCCAGCGCGGCTGCCACCTCCGATCGCCAGCACGGCTCGGCAGTAGAATGGATCGATCTAGTTTGCTTCAGTCTGTTTCGGGCTCCCGAGCAAGCGCCGCCGCGGGCCTCCGCTTCCTCCGCCGCTTGCGCCGTGCCGCAGCCATGAACCTCCGCGACTCCGCAGCTTGCGCCGTGCCGCGGCCACGAACCTCCGCCGCCTCCGCGCGTGACTTTGCCACCTGCCCTGCGCCGCGGCCACAGGCCCGCATGCCGCGTGCGCCCCGCCTCTGCTTTGGCTGGGCCACCCGCCGCCTCTGCTTTGGCTGGGCCACCCGCCGGCGGCGCTGCTGCTGTCGTACTGCTGAGTCCATCCGCTACCTTCTCTCAAAGCGCCGGCAAGGCCTGCGCGGCCGCCACGTCCGTCTGCCGTACTGCGTACGCATGCGAGTTCGAAGCGCTTGCAGCTCTGGTGAAAGAGCTCTGCGTACGTACGTGAAAGAGGACGCTGGCTTGCTGCCTTGCAGCTCTGGTGCACTCAAGCGCGGAAGCAGTTTCAAACCACCATGGTTTTCATTGTCAAAACAAAACCACCGTGGTTTTGGTCTGATTTGAGGCACAATCACCCACCAGTTTGGTTCGGTATGAGTATTTTTGGTGGATTAGACTGGTAGCTGCGTTTTCTTGGTTCGAGGTTGGTTTCAGTTTGGATCTGAGCCCATTACCAGCTTTAGAATTTATTTGCGTAATATTTCTTCAAAAGTAGAACATATAAAAAAAAAAAACTTTACATTTTATTTTTTTCATTAGGGGTATAATGGTCATTTTACTTGGACTTAACAACATCAAATGTCCAAAACGAACGGAAGACTATAGAAGAAAAAAAATTCGTTTTAGGACTATACATGTAAGTTAAAAAGACAGACACAAGGAGTCTACATTTTTCAGAGCCAAACCGGTAAAAAGCTCCCACGTAAAACACATTGTAGTATCCACCGTTCCACACACGGAAAGTGACGAAACCAAACCGTGTTGTGTGCAAGACTTCCAAAGCGGTCGCGTGGGGAGTAAAGATGGCAAGCAGGGCCTCGATACCCGACACCGGGGCGGGTATTTGATCCATTAGAGAATGGGGATTGGATCATATTTTTACCAAGTGGGTATCTAAATAAAAGCAAGAATCCATCCCCGACGGGTATAAGCGGGTATGGGAGCGTTCCGCATTTACCGTCCCGTTATCTGTTGGGGAACCCGACTATTTAATTTGTCATCATGAGTATTAGGTCAAAGAAGCTCAACATAGGTATTTTGGCTAAAATCTGAACAATCATATATACAGTTTGTGTGTTCTAGGAACCTAGTTCAATTTTTTCTCACCATCTCCGCCAGCAGCACAAGCACGCCTGCCTCACGAGCGCTCATGCCCCTTGCTTCCTCAGTTCGGTCTCTCTGCCACCTTTGCTCGTCCTCCTCGCAACCTCACTCCTTCTCCTCGGTATCTCCGAGACTCCGACACTTATACCCGGGTGAAGAAGAAACGTCTCCAAAGTGTCCTTGTTTATCGGGTATGCAGTATCCGTCGGGTATCTGTTACCCGACTGATGCCCGACGGGTACGGAGATGGGCAAAAATCTATACCCGAGACAGTTAACGGAGACGGGAATAGAGACAGGATAAATTCTTCGTAACGGCGGGTAAATCCCGTTGCCGTCCATAGTCCCGAGTCGGTCAATGCAATGCGCTCCGCTGCCGGGAATGGCACGGAAATTTCCCCAAAACAGCGAAAATCGCCCGGAAATTTCCCCGTGATAGCCGCGACCAATCCCCCACGGCCGTTGACTCCACCTCCTCACTCTTCTAGTCTCCCTTGGTTCCCCACCAGCTGCGCGCAGCCTCGATCTCCGACCGGCGATCGAGATGGCGGAGGCGGTGGTCGGCTGGCTGGTGTGCCCGATCATCAAGATCGTCGTCGAAAAGGCCGCCTCCGACAGAATGAAGTGGATGGGCGACGGCGTCTCCAAGGCGCTAGAGCGCCTCCGGAACACGCTGCTCCATCTCCAGACCGTGGCGAGCGCCGTCCAGCTGCGGGGCTCCACGGACAGGTGCCGGAATCTCCGTTCGTGGCTGCAGCAGCTCATGGACGCCGTGTACGAAGCCCAAGACGTCCTCGACAACTTCGACGACTCGGTCCCACACCCTGAATCCTCCGCCGTCAGGTTCGGCAAGCGGATCTTGGGCGCCGATGAGCGCGTCAACAGGCTCAAGGACGTCGTCGCGAAGCTGGAGGCCATCGACGCTGGCTCTTCGACGATGCTGTCAGCCACGGAGACCATCGCGGCGGCGTCAGTGTCGCGCCAACCGAGCGGCAGCAACCACACGGGCCCCATGCGCCCGGACGAGGACGCCGTGGTCGGGCGCGAGAAGGAGCTGCAAGAGATGGTGTCCTGGCTCGTTGACACGCCCGACGCCGACGCCAAGCCCGTGTCCGTCCCCATCGCCGCGATCTGGGGCCATGGCGGGATGGGGAAGACCACGCTGGCGCAGCTCCTGTTCAAGGATCAGAAGGTAACCTCCGCCTTCGACCTCATGATCTGGGTCCGGCCTCCTGGAGAAAGTCTCGTCGCGCAAGTCCCTGCTGGTGATCGACGATGTCTGGATCTGGAACAGGGAGGACATGGACATGACGGGGATTGGATTCCGTGCGATGTGGGACAAGGTGCTGGCACCCCTCAGGCACGGGGAGTCAAGGGGGAGCAAGATTGTGGTTACCACCCGGCAAAAGATTGTGGCGACAACGCTTAAAGCACGAGAGTTCTACTTGGGAGACTTGCCGGACAATGATATCTGGTCTCTGTTCACAAGGTATGCCTTTGGTGACGGCAACGTTGATAAGCAGTCTCCTGAGCTGCAAGGCATTGGGAGGAAAATCGCTGAAAAGCTCAGGGGCTCACCATTGTTGGCGAAGGCCGTCGGACAGATGCTGGGAGGAAGACGCAGGGAAGACCATTGGAGGAACGTGCTTGAGATGGACGGCTTCGATGATGTTTCCAAAACATTGGAGTTGTGCTACCAGAATTTACCAGAGCACCTGCAACCATGCTTTGCAATCTGTAGCTTGTTCCCGAAGAACTGGAGGTTCAAGCGCGATAAGCTGGTGAAGATTTGGATGGCCCTTGATTTCATCCAGCCAACTAGTGGGAAGGCCCAATTGGAGGATGTGGGAAGCGAGTACTTTGATCAGCTTGTGGATAGGTCATTTTTCCATAGGCAAAAGCTGGGGGGTCGGGGGTACTATTACATCCACGACCTGATGCATGATTTGGCCGAGAAGATTTCTCGATTCGATTGTGAGTTGAAGATGCAAAGAAAGAGATCCCCAAGACAATTCGGCACTTATCTGTGTCCGGTGATAGTGATACGGTGGCGCAGCTCAAGAGCCGATGTGACCTGAAAAGACTGCGCACACTACTGATTCTCAAGAACCCTTCCTCTTCGTTGGATCAACTGCCAGGAGATTTTTTCACAGACCTGAAAGGCCTTCGAGTTCTTAGTTTGGAAGGCTGCAATATCATTCATCTATCAGAGAGGATTGGAAACCTTAAATACCTCAGATACCTGGCACTTTGCAAATCAATCACCAAGCTTCCACAAGCACTGACAAAGCTCTATCGTCTTCAAACCTTTAGTAGTCCTAAGGGGTCTGGCCTTGAGGTCCTGGAAGATATTGTAAACCTGACATGTCTGCGACATTTGGACATGGATACATCCAAAATCACTGGTATTGGGAAACTGATTCACCTTCAGGGATCAGTTAAGTTCCATGTTAAAAATGAAAAAGGCCATACTTTAGGAGACTTGGATGGTATGAGCAGTCTGCGTAAAGAGCTTCATATAAAGAACCTTGATGTTGTAACGAAGCAAGAAGAAGCCTGCCAGGCTGGATTAAACAAGAAGGAGAATGTTAAGGTACTGGAATTAGAATGGAACTCGACTGGTAAGAGTGTTCCCTCTGTTGAGGCTGAAGTTTTGGATGGTCTTGAGCCGCACCAATATGTTAAAAGGTTTATAATTAGAAGATATCATGGTAATAGATCACCAAACTGGCTGAGCACAAGCACCTTCTACTTCATCTGATCAACTGTAGAAAACAGGAGGTCCTACCTCCTCTCGGGCAGCTTCCATGTCTCAAGGTTTTGCATTTGAAAGAAATGTGTTCAGTGAAAGAAATCGGCTGTGAATTTTATGGAACCAATCCAATTGCATTTCCATATTTGGAGGAACTTGAATTTGATGATATGCCTCAGTGGGTTGAGTGGACCCAAGAAGAGAAGAGCACTGATATGTTTCCTAAACTCCGCAAGTTGAAGCTTTTGAACTGTCCTGAGTTGATTAAGGTGCCTCAGCTCCCTCTATTCGTGCGGAAGGTCTCAGTAAAAAATACAGGATTTGTTTCACAACTAAAACTATCCTCCTCTTCCTCGTGATCAAAAGCGCACAAGTTTGCACTAGACACGTGCTCTGCCACTGTCCTTACAAATGGCTTAAGTTAATGCACAAGCAACAACTGGAATCAATTTCTATTTTGACTCTGAGGAACTGTCAAGATGTAAAGTTTGAAGAGCTTCGTGTGTTGACTTCCTTAAAGAGGTTGCAAATATCTCATTCAAGCATAAATGATGAGCAGCTATGCACTTGTTTGAGGGGTTTACAAGCGCTTACCTGGCTGGAGATATCTAATTGCAACAACATCACATGCCTTCCACAGATGGAAAGTTCAGACTGCTTAACGAAACTTCATGAGCTACACATTCAGCAGTGCTCTGAATTTTCCTCTCTACACCCTATGCCAAGTTTTGAGGCACTAGAAAGTATATTGATCGAAAATTGCTCCAAGATCACTGTCAAATCTTTCCCTACCAACTTCAACAGCAACACCACTCTGAGAAAACTGAGCATAATGAATTGTGCTGAGTTGGAGTCATTGCCAAGTGGCTTCCCATCTTCTCTGCAAGTTCTTCATCTAATTGGGTGCAAACCAAATTTGATGAACCAACTACAACTCAAGGATGGACCAGAATGGGATAAAGTAGCTAGTATTCCCATAAAACAAATCCGTTGATTAGAAGCTTTTTATGCAGATCAACAGGTATAGTGTGTACCATTAGGAAGCTTTAGTTGTTTGTTTCATCATTATTGAGAATGTCAGCTTTCTTACGAAATAATATCTGTAACCAGTGAAATGTAGAACTTTGCCCTCTGCAGTCATGAGTTGAGAATGCCATCTTTCTTATAAAATGGTAAATCAATGAGTCATAGCACGGCTGGTGTCTTCTGGATTTATGCTGACAATATCCACCTTCCGTTAAAATATTTTCAGATAAGAAGCTGGCTTCCGTCATAGTGATGCTAACAATTTGTATCTGAAATCCTATCATGCAGGACAAAGAATACCGAACGAAGCATAGTTGCCAACAGCTTTTCTCAGTTGGAACTGTTGTTTAGTGTTTTGAAACTGTACTGTAATGCACTTGTGTCTGTGTGCCCACATTGACTTAAGCATCATTTCATTTATACTTATGTCAAAGATGGTGTTGTCACCTTCAGATTTGTAAGCTCTCATATGATGTGAAATGTGATGTCATTTTGCTTACAACTCGTACAGAACCATACTTTTTATTTTCCGAGCCACGCAGGAGAGCTGGTGTCATTTCATTAAGAAGAAGAAATATCGGGCTACAAGGGGATGGTGAATGGTCAAGAGACCAAAAAACCAAAAACCCCAACAACAGCTAATGGGCTACACTGAAAAGGTCAAGCCAAAAACCTCAGCCCACTAAAACCAGTCCCATCACACATGTATCGATGGGCTTTCACATGTTAAACCCTAAATTGTACCCAAATGGTTGTAACTGATGCAGTTTCCTGAGCTGTGAACAACATTATTTATCCATCAGCAAAATGAAATCTGTTCTACTACAACAAACAACAATAGTTATTCTTCTTTCCATTGGAAAAAAAGCTACCTTCTACTAACACTGAAACGGGCATACCCCTAATTCCACACCCCTGACGAAAAAGGACCCAATCACCCAACTAACACTGAAACGGACATACCCCTAATTCCACACCCCTAACGAAAAGGGACCCAACTATTACTCGGTATATATCTATTCCAAGCCCCATCAGGGGTTTGTTATAGACTAAAAAAAATCAATTTCTTTAAAAGCAAGTTGCATTTGCTTCGATTCATAATAGCATTTCTACTGTCTGGGCAGTGAGTGCTATTAGATAGGAAATTTGTGAGGGCTCAATAGACCCTTTGTAGTTCATTTTCTGTCTAAACAAGCCTTATCTTTGCTATGAGACACCTCACATTAAGGAGGCACCCTGCTATCCACTATGACCTATGGAAAGCTGAATCCAATGCATAGGATCACATAATAGAATTCACACGCCATCAAAGCAAAACTGCATCCGGAATGTAACCCAAAGCATCATATCTTTACTTTTTTTCTTGTAAGAAAGGAACAATAGTGAATACATCAGTTGACCAAATGGTATTACCGTACAAACGGGAAATAAAAAAGAAAAGAAAAAAATAACAGACGATACATGTTTGTCAGGATACAAAAATGGAGTGCCACCAACCTGGAATCAGCAAACAAACCAACAGGTAACTGTTTAAAGTTCTGAAGGATGTGCACAACCAGATTCTTGATCCACCAAATTGGAGTAATTCTGACACCAAATCACAGCAACGGGTTGAGTTCAAACAAATTCTAGAGCTTGAAGTTGTTGAGTTGCTCTTTCCTTGGAGAAAAAACTGCACTTCATGTCTCCTCCTGGGATTGTTTGTAAAGTTTGATTCTGAAGCACACCAGGAAGCTGGTTGCCTAATTAACCAAACAACCTTGCAGGTTAATCCTTTACCCCATAACACTGTCTCCTAAGAGGAATAGAGTTCAACTCTTATGTGTAGCCTTACACACTAATCAAGGCCTTAATTGACCTTACTCCACAGCATGTTTTGGGATGTTTAACTGTAACAAATTTGCTAACTCCGCCAGGATGATTATCATGGAATAGCAATATAGGTATATCACGCACCTCAAGATGTTTAAGCCTGTATGTACTCTTGGGAAGTTTGTTAGTTATACCACTGAAAGCTAGGTAATGGAGGTGAACCAACTGACTAATGGTTTCAGGTAATTCTGCAATATCAGATTCACTAAGATCCAGGACCCGCAAGTTCTTAAATTTGGCCAAAAGTTTCCTAGGAAAATGACTTGAGGATAATGACGTGCTTCTGAGAACTAACAATGTCCGCAGCCTTCCTAACCTGTATTTGCTCTTGAGCTGTGGTAAATAATCAGTTGAGATAGACAGGTGACGAACTGTTGGTGGAATCACAAAAGGAACGTCCTCATTAATTTTCATGCAATCATGAGCAGAGAAATGCTGCGCCAAAATGTGCATTAGGTCATCCAGGAAGTAATACGTTTGCTGGTCTTTATTTGCAGTCCCAAAGAAGGACCGTGATAGAAGATCATCGAAGTATTTTTGCCCTAAATCTTCCATCCCTTTCCCTTCGTCTGTTGGTGGTTGAATGAAGCCGAGAGCCATCCACATTTTGACCAAATCATAGCGATTAAACCTCCAGGTCGTTGGAAATATGCTGCAATATGCAAAGCAGCGCTGGAGGTGACTTGGCAAGTGTTGGTAACTGAGTTGGAGGGAGGAGATAATGATATTATCACTAATTTCTGTGTTCATCAGTGCTCTCCATTTCCTTGTGCTCCTGGTGCTACTTATCATTTGCCCAATAGCTTTAGCAGCTAAAGGTGATCCCTTAACATTTGCAACAATAGCTCCTATAATATCTTGCAAGTCAGGTGGAAAATCCATGGGTTGCCCACCCAAAGCAACTTCCTTCAACAGCAAACAACAATCACTGCTTCTTAACCTGTCAAGAGAAACCACATGACCCGCATTCAGAACCTCAGCTACTAGCTTCATCCGAGTGGTCACCAAGACCTTGCTCCCGATTGCCGCAGATCTAAGTGGCGCCAACACTTTCTTCCACATGCTCCTATTCTCTTTCTCGGTTTTACCCTCATCAATCCAAACATCATCAAGTACCAGGAGGAACCTCTTAGATGCAACCAATTTCTCAAGCTCCACCTGCAAACTATCTAAACTGGCCAGACCATCATCACACAGTGTATCATCTGCACAACCAATGGACTGTAATATCTCCCTGGTGAGCTCGGCCTCATCTGATCTATCCCAGACGCAGATCCAAGCTCTCATATCGAATCGCGCTTCGATTCTCGCATCGTTGTACACGGACTGAGCAACCGTGGTCTTGCCGATGCCTCCATGGCCAACCACCGCAACAACCGGAGCAACCGAACGGCATGTTTCCTCGCAATCATCGACGAGCCTGGCGATTATGGAGTCGCACTCCTCCCCACGCCCGAATACCTTCCGCTCCGCGAGCACGGAGCCGGTTACCCGGTTCGGCGACCGCACACCGCATCCCGCCACGGCGCTGCCCCGGCCGGGTCGCAGCCGCTCCGAATCGTCGCAGGCGCGGTCGAGCCTCTCCGCCAGTCGCCTGAGCTTCCGTCCGGGGCCACGGAACGTGGCGTATACGCAGGCCGAGAGCGGAGGGCCGACCTGGCGGCGGCGGTGGAGCTCGTCTAGGATGTCCTCGGCGTCGGCCACCGCGTCCCTGAGCTCGAAGAACCAGGCGTGCAGGTCGGCAAGCTCAGGATCGCCGGGCGCGAGCCACCTCCAGCGCTCGAGCTCGCGGGCTACGGGCTGGATCCGGAGGAGCGCCGCCGTGAGGGCCCCCAGGGGGTTCCGGGGCCCGGCGGCGGCGCGGGAGAGGGCGCTGGCGCGATCGGCGAGCGCGGCGACGTCCTGCGACACGGGCCACGGCGCGGGGGCAGGCATCGGCGCGAATTGGAGGCTGTGCTGCGACGGATCCCGTGGGTTTGCGCCGGTGAGAGGGTTGGGGATTTTGGGGAATGGGCGGATTCTCCCTTGGTCGTCGCTTTCGTGTGGCTTTGGTTGACCACGCGCAGCTCCCGCTGTAGAGACGTGGTAGAGTCGGCTCGCCAACGGGGGCTTGGGTGGGAAGCCGCGCTGGGCTGAGTCGAGCGCGTTCGCCGTTAGGTCAAGGCACCGTTGAGCGAGAACATACTCCCGTGTACTCTTTAGATTTAGGAACCTTAGCTACTGATGCTTGAGTGATTGACAACCTTGCTCGTGAACTAAACGAGCTGTAGAGACCAAAAACAGGCCATCAACTTTGACAGCCTAACGACACTACATTGGGTGTCTGTTTGTTTACTCAAATGAGATTTCGTAGAGTTGCATATAAGTGGAGAATGGAGATCGGTTAAGTGGACGAAGTGACCCTAAAAAGAAGAGTGTTTAGTTAATTGTATGTATAGATGTAGTAACCTATATGTACAGATGCGATAGCTCTGTAAAAATGTTTATTAGTTGTATGAGCTTATACATATATTATTTATTTGAGACTGACATGTGGGCCAATGTCTTATGCACTGCATTCGTCCAGCCATGTTCCCGAGTGAAGCTCAAAATGATCATCCTAGCAGAGAGATGGAGCTGTATATTTGCATGACAAGCTTCTTTTTGAGCTCATACGCATGAATGAAACAGGGGCAGAGGGGAGGGAGGGGCTCAGAGGGGCTAGGCACCTAGAATTAAAAATGCTGCGTTCGTACTTTAAAAATATAGCGAAATTAAATAAAATGTGTTGGATGATTCAATATAGCAGTTGGTACTTTGTGCATATTACAACAGTAAGATTAATATGTGAGTCCCACATTAGAAATCCAAAACTCAAACGGTCTTTGCATTATCTGACCCACCTATTTTTACTAATAGATGATTAATTAAGCTAAGGATTTGCCCACGGATCCCCATAGCCTTACCCATTTCTATTGGATAAAAATAACTTTACCTATATCTTACTTAAATGAAATGGTTAATGTTTGAATATGGATAACGAGTACCCACCGATGTTGTTGCGCGTGTGCCGAGTCAATGACACGTCCGGCCAGTATGAGCCTTTACTTAGGAAAT